ACGTTGCGATGTTTGGATCTGTACTACAGTAATACCGCGTTGCATAAGAAACATGTCGTGCGCTGCAGTTTCGCAACGTTTAAATTACGCTGCCTAGCAAACGTTGTACCTTCAACCTTTTTCCGACTTTTAGCACACGGTTTCCTAGGCAGCCTGGAATTCGAAACAGTAGCCTAACGCTGTGCCTTTGTCGTGCCAATCAATGTTGCGTCAGAAACAGTTTGGTAACAGTTCACTACACAACGTTGCGATTTTCACGTCTGTACTACACTGATACCGCGTTGCTTAAGCAACATGTCGCGCACTGGAGTTGCGCAACATTTAAATTATGCCGTTTAGCAAACGTTGCACCTTCAACCTTTTCCCGACTTTTAGCACACGGTTTCCTAGGCAGCAAGGAATTTGAAACAGTATCCTAACGCTGTGCCTTTGTCGTGCCATTCAATGTTGCGTCAGAAACAGATTGGAAACAGTTCACTACACAACGTTGTGATGCTTGCGTCTGTACTACAGTAATACAACGTTGCATAAGAAACATGTCGTACGCTGCAGTTGCGCAACGTTTAAATCACGCTGCCTAGCAAACGTTGTACCTTCTACCTTTTTCCGACTTTTAGCACACGGTTTCCTAGGCAGCATGGAATTCGAAACAGTAGCCTAACGCTGTGCCTTTGTCGTGCCAATCAATGTTGCGTCAGAAACAGTTTGGTAACAGTTCTCTACACAACGTTGCGATTTTCACGTCTGTACCACACTGATACCGCGTTGCTTAAGCAACATGTCGCGCGCTGGAGTTGCGCAACATTTAAATTATGCCGCCTAGCAAACGTTGCACCTTCAACCTTTTCCCGACTTTTAGCACACGGCTTCCTATAGGCAGCAAGGAATTCGAAACAGTATCCTAACGCTGTGCCTTTGTCGTGCCATTCAATGTTGCGTCAGAAACAGATTGGAAACAGTTCACTACACAACGTTGCGATGCTTGCGTCTGTACTACAGTAATACAACGTTGCATAAGAAACATGTCGCGCGCTGCAGTTGCGCAACATTTAAACTATGCCGCCTAGCAAACGTTGTACCTTCAACCTTTTTTCGACTTTTAGCACACGGTTTCCTAGGCAGCATGGAATTCGAAACAGTAGCCTAACGCTGCGCCTTTATCGTGCCAATCAATGTTCGTCAGAAACAAATTGGAAACAGTTCACTACACAACGTTGCGATGTTTGCGTCTGTACTACAGTAATACCACGTTGCATAAGAAACATGTCATGCGGTGCAGTTGCGCAACATTCAAATTATGCCGCCTCGCAAACGTTGTACCTTCAACCTTTTTTTACCTTTAGTACACGGTTTCCTAGGAAGCATGAAATTCGAAACAGTGGCCTCACGCTGTCCCTTGTTGTGCCGATCAATGTCGCGTCTGAAACATATTGGAAACAGTTCTCTACATAACGCTGCGATTTTCGCGTCTGTACTACACTGATACCACGTTGCTTAAAGGGCAGCTCCGCCGTCAATTTGAGCGTTTTTATCGAAACATATTTTCGGAAAGGGTACGAAAAATTTAGCCTATAGCAGCGGTTAAATCATTAAAAAAACTGTTTACATAATTTATAATCGTTAAAATACGCTGAAACCGAAACCGAAACTAACTTGCCACTCGACTGGTCCGCCATTTTGATGGGACGTCACATGTGGTATAAACACTGGCACGTGCAGTTTGAGCCTGGCCAGCCTGGTAGCAGGTCACTGTTTTGTGTTCGTGCCACGGATGAAAATGGACTCATCAAGCTCGTCTGAATCGGGCAACGATGAGGATATGCGGCTAGATTTTGAGGACGATGACGACAACCCGTTTTCATACGATCCGCCGGCATCGCCTCCGAGGGAAGCGCCGGCGGCGGCTGCATTCGTGATCCGCCGCCATGTGGATCCAGATGCCGCTTCCGAAGCGGAATGGTAAGGCCGTTTTTGTTGCTAGCACGCCAAGAAAAACTGATCGACGTTATGCCTTTTAATTGGAGGCACTTTTTGTTATATCTTGGGGTCTGACAATAGACGGTTTTAGTAGACCGTGTTTTCAAGCGACGCTTCCGTAGCGCGAGATCGCGCCGCCACTTCCAAGCATGCTCTAGCGCGCGCCCGGAAGGGTAGCGGGCCTCTGATAACTATCTACTAAAACTCCCTATGGACAGAAGGCACGAGCGCGGGGACGGAAGATCGTTAGGGCCTCGTAACCTCAATTTCCATTCTCGCGCTGTAAAAGCGTCGTTTGAGACATCATTCGCGCATGTAGCTTTGGCTTCGTGAACGTGCATTTCATCCGCGCGCTCGCGTGTGCTCCACTCGTCCGAGCACTTGTGGCTTGGGTTGATTACCCCGTACTTCCACAGGTGCTCTTGTGGCGCTTGTAGGCCTATGCTGCCGGATGAAGACCTGTGCTGCGGGGAGATTGTGAGAATGTCCCCACTACTACGGGACGGGTGCATCACGAGGAACGCCTTATTCGACCGGTTGTGCCTTCAAAGAGACCAGATGGAGGTTCACGCGCGGATCATGGAACACTTCACTCCGACAGAAATGGAGACGTACGATGGAAACCGGTATGCGTGTAGATGATATGACTTTGGTGGTTATGTGAGCACTTTGGGAGGCTACTAGCAACTGAAGTATTTATAACGTTTACATTTGCTGACCCAGAAATTTCCGTGCTGTTACTTATTCCCTTTCAGAAAACTGAGGTATACGGCATACCGTATCTTCGTAAGCTGGGTTTGGGGCTACTGTGGAAAGTCACGAAGACACCGTTTACCAGGTTGCGTCCTGCGGAGGATTCGAGAGCAGTTCCCGTCATCTAGCTACCAGCTATTTTCATGGGCATAAGGCGAGTATGTCAACTTTCTTTTTAAACTTGTTTGTTGTGAGCCTACTTCCAAGCATACTATTGAGTTCATTGAAGTGAAAATTAAAGCCCTCCTAGAACCTAGAATTGCTGTCCTGATAACTTTAGTCGGCAACAGGTAAAAAGCGAAGTGGAAGCTCCTCCCACCCCTTTCCACTTCAGCAGAGCGAATGGTGGAGAGGAGGTCGCCCCCTTTCCAGCGTTCGCTCAACTAAAGTAGAAAGAGGTGGGAGGAGCTTCCACTTCATTCTTGACCTGTCACCGACTATAGTTCAGGGAAGGGCTATAAGACATCTTGGTGGATGCAAGGGCCTGCTACATTTAGTAGTATATCGACGACTCATATCGACAGGGCCGGACCAAAGATGGGAGGCTGACAGCTTAAGAAGACCGTCGACACCATCGTCATTAATTTCCCCTCATTTCTTGGTCACTGCCATTTGTAAATTATCATTACGTCATCACTAGACACATCACTGTGGGCCTCTGTGGCACGGGCTACTTCCCTTTCTGCAGTGCCGCGGCGTGCCGCGGCTCTCCCGGGACAAAATAAATATTACTATTACTAAATGTGGCATCACATTCACTGTGAGTATGCATATGAAGTCAAGCGACCCCAAAAGGTAGTAGGTAGAGTGCCTCAATGCTGTCAGGGAAGGGGGGAAATGAAGGGTGCCTCTCATTCACACTATTGTATAGTACAAGAAAATTACAACAAATAAGGGTTTACATGTTTATTTACTCAAAAGTAAGACTACAAAACAAACTGGAAAGTTATTCATGTTGGTAGGGGGTCATTATGGTTACAGCAAGAAAAAGATGAGGACGAAGATGACAAGTCGAGCGTTGATGAACTGTTTTATTTGGAAAAGGAAATACGACACCTGACTCTGGGCGGTTTTGCGCAGGCACAACTGCCCAGAGTGGATCAGTGATAATAAAAAAAAAATGAAAGCCTACTATCAGAGGGTTTCATTACTACTGTTTTTAGTGGACACCAAATTTTGACGCTTAGGTTAGTGCCCCAAATGAGCACCTCCCATAACACTAGTAGCCTTCAGATTTAAAAAAAAAACAGCAAAAACTAGCAATTGTGTATTCGCGCTAACAGTGTCGCTATCTGTGCAGTGCCTGTGCACAACCACCCAGAGTGATGTGTTGTGTTTTCTAAACAAAACATTCAGTCGTTACTCAGCACTCGTCTGGTCCTCTTCCTTCGTCGTCTTTTAAAGGGATACTTCAACGAAATTTTAAATATACCTGTTGTGTTCAGAAATAGGCTGAATATGATCCACAATATCCGCAGATGACAATCACAGATTTCTGTTTAGAGCCTGATGGCTGAATTTTTAGTTATAAACAGCCCACTCTGGCAAGCGCTCGGAGAGCACGTCACATCTGGCGTAATCGTGACATAGATTGTCTCGAGACGAGCAAAGCTGAGGCGAGGCTGACGTCGTCAGGATGCCCTAGTCATTCCAGCCACGTAAGCGGTCGAAGCACGCCAGCGATCGGGCCCTAACCCCAAAGCTGCTTTTGTACGAATTTTGGGTGACGGGTTAATCTTCTATAATCTCGTAGAGGGAGAATAGCGACGTCTGGGACACACAAAAGAAAGTCCAGGTGAGAGAGGAGTTCCTCCCTCCCCTCTTCTCTTGTGCTGGCTGGAGAGCTGCCAGGATAATGTCAGGTTCAAAGCATGTATAGTTCTAGGAGAGACAGTCATCGTCACTACCTGTCAAGGTTTCTAGATTGGCATTACAAAAAAGGCTTTAGCGACATCAACCAGGTGCTTTTTGCTAATTGTTTATTTTTGTTTTAAAATTCCTTTTTGTGCCTTTTATAACAAGATATTGGGGTGTCCATTGTGATACTGCTCTTTTGAACACGTATAGACCAAAAAACAAGCGCTGAAATTTTGTTGTAGTGCTATAACCATAATGAATAAGGTTACTTTTATCTGAACTTTTTCCAATGTCTGATTACAATAAAACATATAATATTAGTAGGAAATTTTGATGAACAAAGCTCATTCATTTACCTTTCCAAATAGCACATGCAACAGGAAAAAGTGACAATACTGCATATAAGTTGAACATCTAAATAAGACAATAACACAGGCACAAACAAAACATACATAAGATAATACCACAATGTCTGAAAACAGTGCAGCTGAGCACTCTATTTTACACTATTTGAAGTTTTTTCTCAGCGCTACGCTAATATCTATGGTCGGTGACAGGCTAAGAATTCGGTAGAAGCTCCAACTCCAGCACACACCCATGGCCTTTTGCCATGCTTTGGCTGCACGGTTCTGCTATCAAGGGTAGAAAGCCCGATGAAGCCACAGCTTCTACTGAATTGTCAACCTGTCACCGACTCTAGGCGGAGTTTGATCTTCCTCCCATGCAAAGTTTATTCACGGTTGGGAGGGGCAACTGAAGGCAAGAAACAGTTACACAGCAAACCTCGATCGGTGGCGTCGCACTGCTTCCTCCTTGTCTGGCCGTGGTCCGCACCTGGCTCTCAGGGTCTCGTGCACGACATGTGGCACGGCTTGTTCTGCCAACTCGTATGTTGGCCAGCGTGCCACGCATGTCAAGACGGCGTCAATGAGCTTGCCAACATAGCCTGAAACAAACAGGTCACAAGAGAGTGGTTTATACTGATGGTTTAGGACTTATACCAATTATCCTGAAAATCAGACTGGTTACATCACACGTATCTGCACTATAATGGCGCAAGTTTGATTCTTTTTTTTGTATTTTATAGCTTCTGCAATCTTGCTTCAAGCATCCTCACCATATGCTGCAGCTTCTTTCACAGGAACGACAGTCCACTGCTTGTCCCCCCTCGAGCAACGCTGGGAAAACCGTGGGTGGCCATCCGCAGTTTTTATAGTAGCCCTGTCTGCATTAAAGTTGTAGTGGAGTGCTGCGACCCGGGTCCTAGAAAAAGTAAAAGCCAGTGTCCTCATGCAGTTTTGCTAAATAATCTGTATTAAAACTGTCTCACAATCTAATAGCCTCCACATTAAAGAGTTCCATCTTTGTATAAACTCGTAATTAAATTGAAAATGTTGTGTGAACTCGTGCTTCCTGTCTGAAAGGTGCCATGGATAAGTGCCAAAGCAGATTTTGCAGCCGCTCATGTCTGCCTGGAAGCACTAAACGAAAAAAAAATTTACACAAGCAATTACTGCCTACGGCACAGCGTACGTGCAGATGCTTCATCTTTCCCAAAACAAGTTGCTGTGTGGGCAAAGCAAGCTTCTTTGTAAACAGCAAGTTTGCCAATATGTTAGTAGTGCCCAAGAATGCTAGTAAGGGTCTTAGAACACTAAGGAAAAGAGATCTGTCACTAGTGCAAACATACAAAACTACACGATGGACCTCAGGTGTGCAGACTGCGGCCTAATGTGCCGTTTTCGCCTATACTCCGTTTCACCTTACGCCCGGACGAAGCTATCCTAGCCAATCCCGATCTTTGGACATAGTCCATGATACGTTTTTCGCGCCCCCTCTCTAAAGTCAAGACACTCACACGGCCTTGGATTGGCTCCAAGGGCTTGTAGCATCCGCTGCGCCCGGACGTAAGGTGACACGGAGTATAGTGTGTTTAGCATCATATGCTGCTGGTGAATCATTGTAGCCCCAAGTGACAACATGTGCCATTGAAGCTGGCAGCTCATACTCTTGTTTAGCAATCCTGCCAGTCTGTCTCTACTTATATGTAGAGGGGGAAGCATAACAGATATGTTCTGAGTTGCTGCCAAGTGCCGTTCTGAAACTGTCTGAAGTTATACTCATGAACCCAAGTCCATAACATGTGCTAATTGGGCATGCTATGCTAAACCTCCCTAATGAGTACATTTGTTTACCGTGCCAGCATTCCTGCATATGTGAACTTGGTGGACTTTGGTGCGTAATGGATGAGCAGGGCATGGAACGATTCCAGTGCGTAAGTCTGCTGCTTGTGAGAAATCCGAGGGATGTCTTTTAGCAGGTGGGCTGGCACAAGCACAGACTCCAGTCGCCTGAAGGTCTCTGTTCCTGTGGAGAATCATAGTATCTTAGCCACAGCTGCTAGCTGGAAGCACATTTCTAGGGTTGTGCAAATATTAGAAATTTCGAATAGTAGTTTCGAATAATACGCTACTTGATATTCGCTTCGAGAAGAATTGCACTATTCACATTTTTTGAAGTGTTGATTGCGGTGGGTTAGCCCCGCTCAGTGCGCTTACTTATCGAGCACCCGTGCACTGCAAAGATGCAGCACCCGCGGGAGCGAGGTCCACGGGTGTTGCCTCTCTACATTACATCGGTGCTCGGCAAGAAGTGCACTCAACAGTGTAACCCGCCGCGATAAACACTTGGAAAATTATGAATATCGCAAATGCGGGCTTGGCAGAAAAGCATACATTCAAAGCGGAATGGTGCACGCGTGCCCATCCCGCTCTATTTGAAAATAAATGGAAACTTTGTGAATGTGTTTATCCACAAAAGTTTCAGAAATAAACTGACTGTTCTGCAAGAGTATATGTTAGGCAGAGATACCCTTACAACCTGCGTTCATCGTGCGCAATTCTTTCTTTTTTAACTCGAGATTAAAGCATGAATATTTTATACAGCAATATTTATAAATTCACTCAGTTGGGTATAGTCGGCCATCTCTATAGGATTCATTTTATGTCATATCCGTCATTTACTTGCCATCCCAAGACATCGGACCTTCTGAGGTCACAGTTCATAAATATAGATAGATTGAAATTAGCTTATAAATGAACAAGTGAAACAACCTTCACGAGTTTAGCTGGGATTGCGTCTAAGCATGATGCAATGATAGTGAAAGGCGTGGAAAAACTATTCGATATTTGAACTGAAAATATTCGGCAAAAACCACTATTCGCTTCGAACTCAAAACCTACTATCCGCACAGGACTGCACATTTCAGACACTTACCTTCCTGCAGCCAGTTTCGGTCCTTGATTTCACCATGTGCGCAGGCTGGATGGAGGGGGTCGGTGTGGACATGTACGTCGATCACGTGCGGCATGATGGACCTCCATTTTGCTAGCACCAATTCACCATCGCCGTTGCTGGTGCGGGCACACCAGTACAGGTGACGAATGATTGTGCGCTTCCATTTTCGGAGAACGTTGTGGGCCTTTGTTCCCGACACAGAATCAATCTTCTTCTTGATTCCTAAAGCAGATTATGTTGCAAACATCATCAGTGTGTTAGTAAAAGTAGAGCTTCAATTAAGATATGAAAATGCAACTATTGTGTTACTTAAACCTACAGACAGCATAAAAATAAAGGTTAAACAAGCGCATACCTTTTGCAAAGTGCCAGGCATCGAAGCGGTGAAGCACATCAGGGTGGTTGTCTCGCACATATGCGTTCACCTCACGGTGGCGGTCTGTGACCAGCATGTCAACTTCGACGTTTTTGCTCTCAAGGGAGCTGAATGCCCTGGCCAGCCCCTCCTTCTCCATACGGTTACTGGATGACACCTCTGTTGACTGAAATACACAAAAAATATGCCAAAACAAGCACTTTGTATCAGTTCTATCATTATTCCACCGGATTGCAGGTCCAATTTTATTTGACCAACAATTTTATTTTAAAAAGTGGTGCAACCACTTTTTATACTCCCAGCAGTACTCAAGTTTTAATGCATGATTTTTGCCAAAAGAGTGATTACACACCAGCATTTCCTGAGAACCATCTGGTATCAGAACTATATTGGCCCGTGTACATCATATTTTTGTGCCAGCCCCACAGGCTAAAGAGAGAACTGTAAACTACTGCACAAAGTGTCCCGACACCCAAGCAACATGCACCCCATGTAAATGATAACACCTGTCAATGGTGATGGGAGAGATTGAACAGAGGTGAATGGCGTCTTCCCCTACCTTATATATTTGTGTTAACTTGACCCACCACTGACAAAACTTGCAGACCTCAGCTTGCAAAGGTCTCTTTTGTGATTTCCTAAAAAATGTGCATGAATGAATTCAGGCGCAGTTTGTACCTTGACCAGCTCGATGTGGAAGACTCTGTTGCGGTTGACATCCATGAGGGTGTATGTCCCAAAGTCGGCAGAGTGACCACGGGAATCTGCTCTTCCATCCCCGGAAAGACAGAGCTTTTGGCCCCGTGAAGCCTGAACCATGAGGTTCTGCTCAGATTCCCAGACCTAAGAAAAAAAAAAAAGTGACCTACTTTAATAAGAACTTTTTGAAACATTGCAGGCACAAACCTCTTGAACTGCCGGTAAGAGGTAGCATCGCTGAAACTTAAAGAACTGTGTCTTTTGCAGTGTTTTCACGCCCATCAGCGACAGCAGCCTGATAACTTTTGTAGGACTGCAGCCAGAGAACAAGATGGCTGAGCAGAACAGGATGTTTCCCAACGCTTTCCCTTCGACAAGGGGCTGACTGCACCACACCTCTTTGTGTTGCTTGGGGCAAGTGATGGTCGCTCTCATGAAACTTCCCGCAAATGACAAGCGGACCTCACAGTTGGTGGCACCACATCGTAAGCATCGTTGGAGGAGCCTCATTAGGAAATTGTGAAACACAATGTACTTCTTCTGCTTGTGATCCGTGACATCATCATCCTGCAGAACGAACGTCCTGAAATACAAGCAAATGATTTAATGCTATGCAGTTATGAACTATGCCTTCTGAAGTGACATCAGATATGGAAAAGTTTCCAGCCAACAACATCTGATAGTTTGAAAGTGCGAACAGCTTTAAGATTCGGTATAACTAGCAGAAAGCCTGGGGGCAGCACACACAAGTCCACCAGTGTATCCAACCCAGCCAGTGTATCCAACCAAGTCTACCAGTGTATCCAACCCAGCTTGTTTATTGCGTAGGACGTGTTTTGAGGCCGATGAGCAAAATCAAAATAACCAAAATGGCGGTCCGTAAGCTCGCGGCGTTATCGCGGCGGCTGTTTTGTGGCTGTAAACTGAGGAAATCACGGAAATTATGTCTGAAACATTGAGCAGTAAGCTTTATGGCGTCTAAAATTTCAGTTAATGTTATACATTAACTCTATGGGGTAAGTGATGGTTCGGCCAAAATGTCCGAATAATCGGACGTGTCCGAAATATCGGAGTCCGAAAAATTGGTCGACGACTGTATGTGGCTTTATGCAGACTTGTACAACTGTTACTGGCTATACTATCTTCAGGATGAAACAGAATACAGAAATGGCATTTCATTTAAATTTCTACAAAGCATCCGGTAATGATGGAAGGTTTATATGGCAGTGCCTCAAGTGAGCAGCGATATTTAATACAGATAAAAACATACTCTTCAGGGCCACCTTCATCGTCATCCTCTTCTTCCTCATCTTCCTCATCATCTTCCTCCTCTAGGACAAAGGAAGAGTCGAGGTCTTCCTGGATACTATGAGTAGACATGGCATATTTAGATTTCAGAAATGTAAGAGTTACTATACACAAGTTTCAAAAGCTACTTACGTGTCCTCACTGGCCTCTGAGGATGATTCCGAGTCGTCCATACTGGGAAGAGATAACAAAGGGCACTGTTAAACTCTCTATTTTCACGGCCCTAATTTGTGTCAATCGGACGCAGGGAACATATTCACAGCCACTAAATTTTCCGCATTCTAGAGCCTGCAGTCCTTGCACCCTTACAATTTTTCACCCTACAATTTTTTCAAAATCTCAAATCTGCGGAAAGTAGGGGGTTGCAAACATTAAGGGTTCACCAGTGCATGACATACCAGTTCATGGTGGCGCTCAGGGTGTGTGGGACTTGAAGTGGACAACTCTCATTGACAGATGCTTCCTCCGTCTCGACTTCCATGTCCTGGACCATCAATTCCGTCTGTGTAGCTAAGAAGCATTCATTGTTATAAGGATACTACTAAAGGCTGTGCCAATCAAAAAAACAACTAAGAAATGCTGCCATTTGCTTACCAGATGCCTCCTCTGTCTGGACTTCCATGTTTTGGACTGTCATTTCTGTCTGTGTAGCTAAGAAGCATTTAATGTTATGAAGACACTACTAAACGCTGTGCCAATCAAATAACAACTAAGGGATGCTACCATTCACTTACAAATGCTGCTGGTTTTGACAGCCGTTTGAGTCCTCTTGCATATGCCAATATGAATGTTTGCTTGGCAGGCAAAATTGGCATGGTCTACAGTTGTTGCTGCCTCTGATGTACCGTCGAGGTGGTATGTAGCCTAGAAAAAGGAATATAGGCAAGTAAAGCTGTGTGTCATGAACATAGTAAGTAATTTGTTTGTGTCCTCTTCTTCATACCTGATTGCACTTGACAATGCATGATGGGTATGTACTAAAAAGTCGAACTAGTAACAGATTCTACCCACCTGGATTGTTTCCTCCAGCAGGGAGCAGTCTGTCCCGCCATACAAATCGGAGCTCATGTCCATTGGTGCTGGCCAGTGATCCATCAGTCCATTGTTGGTGCCAGTGAGCTTAAAGTTCAGAAACGTCAGCTTATGAAAACTAAGAACAAGCTGCTATCCTCTTAGGGACACACGCAGATGATTCTACTGAACTTTTTGGAGCAGTGGCCTAAGCGTGTCAAACAATGCATGTACCCTGGAGAGCCATAGCTTTCGAAAATCATGGGTAATTTTGCAGAATCAAGACCTGGAATTGGCACTGTTCCAAAACAAAAAGCGGAAGACAGCCGTGTTGAACCTGACTGACCATTGGCAGATCGGGACTAATCCTGCGCTAATTAAAAAAGGTGACCCTGGTACATGCCAAAACAACTGTGGAAATTACTATTAGGTTTACTCGTATATTGCTTCCAGCTTCAATATGAGCAATGAGTCCACAAACTTTCATTGTTAGCTCGAGACTGCAGAATGTTCAGCTTTTGCAAGCATTTACTACTATATTTCAAAACACTGAGCATGGCTATGTCTCATTTTCTATGTAGGTACTAAAAGAACTCCATACACTAACCTGGGTTGAATCAAGTGGCATAGAACAGTATGTGTGATCTCGAAGTTCCACTTGTTGATCTGTTCTAAGATCACCGGCTGTTGATAGATGGCCACTCTCCGAAGGTGCAGGCTCCATTCTTGAAGGTTCCACACTTAGAGCCTCCTCAATGGGCTGCAATTGACATGTGAACACTATTATGATTGCACTCTTATCTTAATTGCACAGACAAGCTTCTAGAAATTATTCTGAAGGTATACTGTCAGCATAAATTAGGCAATCCCTTTTGTAGACGACTTGTGAGCAATGAAAACTTCTCCATCTGTCAGAGCAATACCACAAAGAACACAAGGCCTGTGCATTACGTCATCGTTAGTAAATCCCCGACCCGCTTCAAGCGGCAAACATGCCGATGCTCAACGAGGATACGTGGCAGGTGCCAGCGTCTTGGTGTCGCCGCGCTCCAGCATTGTGTTTGTTGTGAGACGCCAGCAACGCGCTCGCGGTGACACAACACAAGGTAGGTGGCACTGTGATGATCTACTGGGGCCGGGGATTAGAGGAGGAAAAGCGCAGGCCTTGTGCTCTAGGTGGTATTGGTTAGAGTCAGTTGGGGGCTGCAGAATGATAATAATGAAGCATTCGTAACGAATTACTATTGCCTCAAAACATTGAGCTTGGTCATGCTTTATTTCCTATTCTAGTCATTTGAATAAAAGCATGCACTGACCGTTGGTGAATCAAGTGGCATGGAGCAGGTTGTGCGATTTAGAAGTTCTGCTTGTTCATCTGCTCTCGGATCACAGGCCGTTAACGGATGGCCGCTCTCTGAAGATGCAGGCTCGAATCCTGAAGATGCCACCCTTGGAGCATCCTGAATGGGCTGCAACTAAAATGTAAACACGGTTATGGTTGCATTTTTATTTTTATTTCACAAATAACACTGCTAAAAAAATTGTTTAAAGGGATGCTGGACCGAAATTTGGATCTCACAAACCATGGCAGGAGTGATAGGCGCTACAAAACAACATAACATCACTCATACAGCAATATTGCAAACGAATGGTGGTATTTCTCAAAAAGAAAGACTTGACTGAATGAAGCCGACGAGACACGTCGTGCCGCGATTCTCATTCCCTCTTCGCTTTGTTCCCTCGAGGAGGTAAACCAAAGCGAGGAGAGGCTGCTTTCCCTCATTCTCAACTGCTCCAGGAGAATGGCTATGTCACATTCTTCGCTCAGTCGCACCCTTCACCCTTCTTTTCCAAAAATACGGCCAACCGGTGGGGGTGTCGCTGTACAAATAATTTCTGGGGCTTGTAGCGCCTCGTTGAACACTTCTGCAATCTTATTTTCTGAAATCTAAATTTCGGTTCAGCACCCCTTTAATAATTCTTGCTTCTCTTTTAATCAGCTGGGGGTTGCGGAATGATCAGCTTTGTACTTGGGGAAGCTTTCCTTGGCAATGCAGTCAAAGCTATGGCACCATTGAGCTTGTGCACCCTGGGTGCCAACCAAAGCTACACATGTCCCCTCACTTCTGATATGCCAAGAAAGGCTGTCCCCTATTATTCAGAATTTTTAAGACATATTAAGTATGGAATGCTTTTAGCTCCCCTTCTAGCCCAACCTACCCCGAAACCCTCTTTGAAATCTCACAAATGGGGGGGGGGGAGGATGTAAAGGAAATGTAATTTGCCCCTGGCAGTTATTCAACCTGAGTTAGCACGGTGGGAAGGAAGCGCGTGAACGGAGCAAGCTATGTCTGAAGTTGATAAAGACGTTTATGATTTTTGAGTCGACCATGTACAACCATGACCTCGAAGTTTGCTGGTGTGCAAAGAGAAAAGGAGAGAGAGAAACCGACCTGGGACCCATTACGTGATGGGGATGGGTTTCTCTCTGTCCGTTGGGGTGATGCGTTCTAGGATGCAAACAACACTGCATTCAGGACAGAATGAGAAAGGTTGGATGCATTCCAATTCAACGGCCGATACTCCATGGAAGCTCGGATGAGATTTCGAGTGCATGAGTTCCGGACAACGCTAGGGACATGCCCTGCAAATCATCTCGTGTTTACACGTACCCTCAAGGACGAGAAAGACCACTGTAGTTTTAGCTCAGAACACTGAGCCTTATTTCCTGTTGCAGGTATTCAAATAACTTCGTATACTTGCCTGGGTTGAATCAAGTGGCGTGGAACAACGTCTGTTATCTTGAAGTTCCACTCCTTCTGCTGTTGGATCACAGGGGTCATTCTCTGGTGATCTGGGCTCAAGTCCTGAGGGTGTCATCCTTAGAGCATCTTCAAGGAGCTGCAATTTACATGTGAACACTGTAGTTTTACCTCAGAGTATTGAGCCGTTGCAGGTATTGGAAGAAATCCGTATACTTGCCTGGGTTGAATCAAGTGGCGTGGAGCAACGTCTGTGATCTTGAAGTTCCACTCCTTCGTCTGCTGTTGGACCACAGGACGTTGATGGATGGCCATTCTCTGGTGAAGTGGGCTCAAGTCCTGAGGGCGTCGCCTTTAGAGCGTCCTCAACGAGCTGCAATTAACATGTGAACACTGTTATCATTGGACTATTATCTTAGCTGCACAAACAGGGCCCCTGAAAATGATCACTGTGTCTAAAGATAGGTTGCACGAACCAGAACACAGGGTCTAAAGGCAAGGCGGATGTACCTGGTCAATTTATGTAGTGCAATGATGAAGATTCGTACTTGGGGTATCAAGCTTTATGTTAACAGTAAATGCTTATTGTTGCCTTGTAAGCACCGATGTTCAGTGGTGCCTTTCACACTATAGTCGGTGCTTGCTCTCCAAGCATGTCAGAGTTGCTCAGCTGCTACGAGTACTCAATTATGAAACTCTGTGAAAACTCATCAGCACTTGAAGTTTGAACCGTATAGACGTAGCAAGGACTGGGAGCCCCTCCTGCTGATCTGCTTTGATGGTCTGACAGTTGCACACATAAGAATGTACCCACTTTTCTTAGGTGTATTGTTTTAGAGCAGCTTGCAGTTCACTAAATGCCGCAAACTCGTTTCAAACTTTTATTTTCTTGGCATGCACTACATGCGCTAAAACACACAAGACGGGCACACGCCATGTGTAGCCAAGTGTAGTGACGCAGCGTCGCGCACATGCACACGGCGGCCAGGTAGAGCGGCCACCGGTGCCGACCGCTCA